AAAAAAAAAAAAAAAAAAAAAAAAAAAAATTACAATTTGTCGTAGAATTTGGTTGGAATCGCGAAAAAAATAGGAAGATTATTTTTTCAAAAATTTTATTATACATCGTTTAATAGTCTAAACTTATCCGTCTAACTTGTCAAAAAAACTCAAGTTGTTAAGTCTAATTTTAAAAATGTTATCGTATTTTACAGGTATACCACTTTTTTGACCGATTGTATACGTGTATGTAAGTATATATGTGATCCATTAATAAATATATGAGTAAATACATATGCGATTAGTTAATGACAAGTAAAGCGATATGGATAAAATATATACTCATATTTTTCTTTAGTTCCCGCATATGCAAATATATCCTCTCTGCGTATATATATATGGATATCGTTAATCCTACGCATTTGTTATAAATATCGTATATATTCGTATATATTTAATATTATAACGACATTATAATAAACATTTCACCAGATTAGATAATACATACGATATATTCCAAACAAAATTTCTTCGAAAAAGAAAAACAATTTTCAACATTGAATACTTTAACATTTGAAAAAAGCGATAATAAATTATATTAGTAAATATACGATAAAGATATATTGAGTAATAATTCAAAAATGCAACGTGAAATGCCTCGCATAATACAACTTCGCTATTCCATTCTTCACTGTTTTTTAGAATCATCATGAACCGGGCAAAGATTTTTAAAAACATCAGGATCTGATAAGATAAAAATCGATAAATCATCCTTCTAATCACGATTAAATACGATTTTTTTATTTCGTCACAATGCAGACATTATCTATGAATTTATTTTCGTTGATGAAAACGAGACGTCAAACATCATATCAATTGAATTATTTTTAAGAAACTCGTCAATTAATAATTATAATATTTGAAAAAATTTAATTCTAAGATGAACGAAATTCCCTTATGTTTCCTTTTATTTTCTCACAATAATCTATCCTTCGATAGGAGTCGAGTTTGGATGGTAGAAGGGTAAGAGAAAACGAGTTTATTGCGCTCGGAGAGAGCAACTCAAAGGGGATCGAAGATATACATGTATACGTTACATGTATATACGTGACGTGAATAATTGTAACTTGACTGGTTACGCTTCACAATTAGTACCACATATGCGGTCATCATTGAACATTGTATGAGCTATAGGTAGCCGTGTGTTGGCATTGCTAATACATCCATACAAGTTTCACTGTCATCGACATCGTGCCATGCTATGCGGTGCTAGTTTCCGTTCCACGGCGTACCCATTGCCCTTTTTGCTTTTATCTAAATCTTTCCAATTAGTCATTTCCGCATATAATTTTGTTTCATTTTATTTCATTCTCTTCGTCTGATCTTATACTCTTATCGTAAAATGGACAACAAACAAATACAACAGAATTGAAAACAAGATTCTCCAACATTGATTGAATCGATAATGAATTCTTATCTCTTTCGCCAGATTGACGAAATAATCGTGCGTATAGAAATCGAATAAAACCCATCTAATATTGTCTCTTTAATTTCAGAAAAAAAAAAAAAAAAAAAAGTTATATATGTATACGCGTTTATGTATATAATACATATATATTATATTATGTACACGATCATGCTATTCGTATGCAAGGAAAAAGACAATCCGCGACTGAAAAAAAGCTAAAGAGCAAATGTAAATGAGAATAAGGGATGATACTGTATCTTATGAATGAAAAAAGAAATATGATTAAAGGAAAAAGCAAAGAGATGGCGTACGTAAGTACAAGTAGTAAACGAGTGTTAGCGAGAAGAGATGCGAGTTCTGTGTATTTGTACGTGTAAAAGCGCGCGCGTTTGTATATGCATGCACGTATAAATGTCGGGAGAAACGGTGGATGGGAAAGGGGGGCAAAGGAGAAGAAACAACATCTCCTAACTCGCTTGCTCGCACGTACGCACGGTCGATCGTTCCTGCTGGCAGCCATTTTGTGCTTGCCCGTAGACCCGACATTCTATCCTGGGAAAATACTGTCCGTGATTCGTTTTATCCATCCATTTATTGTTTATTTGATTACGCATTTTCCATTTACGAGAAATATAAGAACGAAAAGATATCGTGTAAAAATATGTATGTTTTCGGTTGAAGAACAAATTTTTTAAAATATCCTGACGTTCAAATGATCGAACGTTTTATACGACAGGACAATAAATTCTCTATATCAGAATATATCCTTCCGTAGTTGATTCGGTACAACCTTGATTGTAAAAATTGTTTACTTGTGACCGCTTTTAGCGTTAAATTTCCTTACTTTTTACTGCTTCAATAAGCAATAATATGCCAATGTTAAAAAGAGATGAATTTATCGAACAAAGGTTATCGTTCGCTTGATGACCGTGTGTCTAAAGTCAGCTATTTTAATCAATAGCAGAGATTACACCAATGTATACATATTTCTCGCTAATTAAAATATACTTTATACTTGTCATTGTTTCATTAGTATGAAACGCAATTTTTCGTTATTTCAAGGATTTTTATCGTTATCTATGAAAACCAGAAATCTAAATCGGATGGAAAAAAATATCAAGCGAGATATTAAGTGCTACGATATTGTTATAACTTTATTTCAATCAGAAAAACAAATAATGAAAAGTTAATGAAAAAAATTATATAAAAGTATATGTAATAAATGAACGTAAAAGAAATCCATCGAATAATAAATATGCATGCTATTAATGAAATATTTACGAGTTGAAATGCAAATCGTATGTAGATGAATTGCTAACTTGTTTTTTGGAATTGTTGAAATTTAAAGTTGGCTTCTTTTATTTGCCAGTTTGAAAAATAAAAATTATATTATAAGAAAGATTTTAGAGGAACGAGTAAAATAAATCAAAAAAATAGGTAAAATTTAAATAATACATAATTGTGCACCGATTACGATAAAATATAATGAAACATCAATCTATCGATTTTTTTATTTCACGACGATAATTTATCAATTTATCAAAATAATTTATCAATTGTACAAAACTAATTATTAATGATATCAAAAAATTGACGACGATGTTTCATTAACAATTGTTTCATCAATCGTTAATTACTGCAAAAATCTTTTGGATTTCCCGCCTTTTTGCTTGCTCTTTTTTTTCAAAACTTTTCTCTTTTCTCATATCAATCAAATCAATAAATTATTAAATTTATTTATTATTTATTTAAAATTCGACTATTATTATCAGTTAGTAAAGTAAAGTAAAAAACAATGCGTAATAAATAAATAAAAATTGTAAAAAAATAGTATCGTGCGGAAGAATTTAAAGATAAAGATTGCAGATTCGATAAATATTTGAAAAATAAAAAGGTGAAACGATATATAATAGGATAGATAACTGGAACGAATGAATCGTGATCTGTGTTTACATAAAAAACAACACTATAGCTATTATATTATCGCATCGATCGATCGTTCAGAGATTAATCTCGACAAAACTATAGTTTCGTTTTTACAGAATTCGTCCTGAATACTAGGTAGATTAATAATACCATAATAAATGAGATATATGTTAAATTCGTATTATTACGTAAATCAAAACAAGGTCATTGTTTATCTTCTAACTTGAGTTTGAGTTATCAAGCAGCTTATGTTAATACCTGAATTAGTTGGCTAAAAAAAAAATAATCGAAAATTTAATGATATTTTATTTAATCACAAAGTTACTATACAAATATATATATATATATATATATAAATATATATATGTATATATATTTAAACGATATCATATTTTTCGTTTACTTCATTTGTTTATACCCATTTATCATATTTTTCTTAATAAATCTGTTTTTAACTTTCTTATCTTAATGTGAATCCAATAATTCATTTCCATTTTTTTCAAAGTTTATAGAAGCAGCATATAACATCAAGTCCAATGTGATATCATTATTCAAAATTCATACAACGATAATTGAATTCTAGTAATGTTTCTATTGTGCTAAATAGGATTTTTTTAATTAATTATTGAAATGATGATGAGACGCAAATAATTTATAAAATGCGTATCAAATATTAAATACTGATTGATTCCTATTTGCAAAGATGACCTAGTGAACTTTCAAATAAAGATGAAGATAGAAAGACGTAAAGACGAGGTCGCGTCTATTGTGATCGTAATCGATCGTAAGCCACGTTAAGTCTGCATCGTTGCGTGACATACAATGGTCCATGATGATGTTACGCGAAATATTGTTTTCCATCTAATCGTACTAAAAACATTAGAAACGATCGAAAGGGCAGTCAATGTACATAGCATGTGCAAATAATATACGTATTATACTGCGAACTATACGATACCGGTTCTACAGAAGGCAAGCTGAAGGATCGCTACGGTTCAAAGTGGGAGAATGTGTGCATCACATGTATATACGTCGCGTACCGGCTTCACTTTGGTTCGACAACGGCACGCAAAACGCATACACTAAACTATTCGAATACGCACACGCGCTACGCCACGCTACCACGAGACGACGTGAGACGATATGAGACGACGTGAGACAATGTGAGACGACGTGAGACGAGACAAGATAAGACGAGACGGGACGGGACGAGAAGGGACGGGACGGGACGGGACGGAACGGGACGGAACGGGACGGGACGAGATGAGACGAGACGAGACGAGACGAGACGAGACGAGACGAGACGAGACCAGACGAGACGAGACGAGACGAGACCAGACGAGACCAGACGAGATCAGATGAGACGAGATGAGACAAGACGAGACGAGACGGGACGAGATGGGACGAGACAGAACAACATGAGACGAGACGGGACGAGATGAGACGGGACGAGATGAGACGCGACGAGATGAGACGCGACGAGATGAGACGCGACGAGATGAGACGCGACGAGATGAGACGCGACGAGATGAGACGCGACGAGATGAGACGCGACGAGATGAGGCGCGACGAGATGAGGCGCGACGAGATGAGGCGCGACGAGACGAGACGGGACAGGACGGGACAGGACGAGACGAGACGAGACGAGACGGGATAGGACGAGACGAGACGAGACGAGACGAGACGAGACGAGACGAGACGAGACGAGACGAGACGGAACGGAACCGAACGAAACGGAACGGAACGGAACGGAACGGAACGGAACGAAACAAAACGAAACGAAACGAAACGAAGCAATACGACACAATGCGACACACCACGCACTAGGTAAGTGGTGAATATATACGTGCTCGATAAAAGCGTGCACACTGTCGTGCACCACGTATGGATAAAAAGTATAACGTTGTGTGAATCGATGGAAATACAAGCTTCTTACCATCGTGCGCTTTTATCGAAGGCTGGATAGGTTTGCGTGTTGATCGTTTCAAAAATCCATCCTTTCTTGCCAGATTCGAGATTCTTTTTCCTTCCGTCGATGCTCCTGTTATTATTCATGTGGATTCATCGAGGATGGTGTATTCCAGAAGGTAATCCAATTCCAAGAAAGATGACCAATTTTCCGGTATTGTCGAATGTCTCATGACGCGTAGTAAATTCACCTCACGACCTCGTTCCCACGCACCTACATAACCACGCATAAACGAACACTAGTAACAACTATCATTCAACCAGATCTCGATATGTTTAAATACACAAGTGCTCGCGTCCGTACACATTTTTGCAAACACATATATTCGCACTGTATGCACTTTGTATTGTGTATACTTAAGCTTGATTATCCATGCGACACTACATGTTCTTCTTTTTCGGTAGTAGCGTTAACTAACCGGTGTGGCTCGTCCACCTTCACTCTCACTCACTCGTTTCAACCTTGCTTTGTTTCTCTCCGTTTCTAATTTCCTCCGATTTTTCCCTCCCCCCCCCTCTTTTTTTTTTTTACATTCTATTATATTTTTCTAATTCTCTTAAGCTTTCGAAGTAAATACACATAGTGATCGTATACAGTTTTTCGTCACACTCGATAAACACGAACATGCGACGAAGGAACAAACATACGTAGCACTTTCCCAAAGTCCGAGAACACGTAAGTACATTGTAGGCGATTCCCTTTTATGAGACCACATTCGTAAGCCTGAATAGATTCAATAACTGCCTCTTCTTCAAGTTTTGAATATGTAGACAAAAAGATATAGTATAGTTAGAAATTACGAAACTGACATCGCCGTTTGATCAACCAGCCATACTTGCAATATATGTCCGGGCGACACTCGTTACAAGCAGAATACACAAAACACAACGAACGGGACGCTAATACTAACACAGAAACGAACATGCCCGTGCGCATTCGTTCGTTTGTCGTTTGCTCGCGTGCTCGCCCTACTACACGCGCAAGACACACAGAGTCAGAGCTATCGAGAAAGATAGAAATAGTAGGATGAAAAAGGGAAAGGAAAGAGAAGATCGGAGCATCTACGAGAGCGAGAATGAAAAAATATAGTAGGTGCGTGCGTGCGTGCGTGCGTGCGTGTGTAAGTGCGTGCGTGCGTGCGTCGTGCGTGCGTGTCATGTATGTATTATGTATACGTATTTGTGTTTGTATATGTACGTGTAGAAAAGAGAAGTTGCACGCAGCACCCTATCCGTCTCTATCTGGTAGCTATCGAGGATACACGATTATCATGCGCACTCTCTCTTTTTTCGTTTCCACTCGATGCCTCTGTTTCAGTTCCTGCATTTGTAAACGTCTACCGGTCTTCAACTGATCCGAATCGGTGCTCTTCGTTTCGATCGCGCACTCTCACAAACAAACACACATACCGACTGTAGTCTACTCGTGTATACATCGAGAGACGAAGCAGAACTCCTTCGTCGTCTCGTTCGGCCGACGCCGCGCGAGAAATATACACACTTTCTTTTCCAAATATCGAATTTTTCTTGCACTTTGACACTTTCGAATCTTATTGATGCTATGCCAAAGTACCGTAAATACACATACCTCGTCTATTTATTCGAAAAATCCCGATTTTCCGGGCTGTGACGAGTAAAGAAAAAATGCAGACACCGCACCTCCCTTGTCAGAAAGCACTCACGGCAGACCGCAACACATGGCTACGGGCCTCCACCAAGATCGGGCGTCCTCGACTGTATTCGGCAAACTACGGTTAGGACCGTATCTATCGCTTCGGTTACCCTTCTGCTTCCATATAAAAAAGAAATGAATCCTGTCATTGTACAAGTAATTTTCAATAGACCAAATAATCTATTGCTTTATATGTTATAAATGCAATTTTCGATGATTCTTGTTATTCATTCCATATACATCACATACACATCACATATACACACACACACACAAACACACACGTATGCATATATGTATATATATTGAAATTTATAGAATATGTAAATTGTAATTTCAACTTAAATATATCGATATCTATTATACATTGTATTATTCATATTTCATTAATTTATATATCGCGTTTTATTATATTATACTACCATAAACATAATGATTTTGATTCGTTATTAGTCCAAAATTATATTAAATATTTTAAAGCGTTGAAAGATATTGTTAAGAAATTGAAATACATTTTTATAATTCAAAGATGTTGATCAGTTTCAGAATTTCATAAAAAAATAAATATTATATATATAAGAAAGCAAAACAAAAAAAAAAAGAAGCGAAATCAATAGAAAAAAAAAGATAAAAGATAGGGGAAAGGGCGCTTGGTTATTGGTTTCCGGTGCTGGCCAACCGTTAGGAGCCGGGCGAGGGTTCTGCACAGGCGTCCTCCGTCGTCTTCTACCGAAGGCCGTGTGGTGTCACGGTGAGCGTGGCAAAACCCGGAAAGAAGAAAAGAAGCCGAAGGAGCGTGAAGAAGTACGAAGGAATACGAAGGAGCCCGAAGGAGCTAAAAGACTCTCCTCCTATTTCTTCTCTTCATCATCTTCTTTTAGTTTTCTTCACCGAAACCAGCTCCTGATTATCAGTATAGTACATACATATACGTATAATATAACGAAATAAAATTTTGATTCTCTTCCCATTGTCTTTATATTATAATTTTAACTAATTTTTTTTACACGAATTTATATTAACATTTAAATCACAGATATGATACGAAATTTAATAATGAAAATGAAATAATTTGGCAATTATTAAATTTATAAGAAAATTATTTCATAAAAAATTTCATGCAAATATGTAAAATGATTTTGCTACTTTCTTTGCTTTCTTTTCTTTTTATTTTCTTTCTTTTTTTTTTTTGCTCTTTTTTTCTTTCTTCATTTTTATGTTATATACACAGATAATTTATATATATATGTTGTTTTTTGATAATATCAATGTGATATATTGTATCTTTATATGCATGTATTATAAACGATTAAATTAGTATCGTATAATTATTGACTTTGATCTTTGACAATTTCGCAATGTGTCTTCCAAGGTCCCATTTGTAGTTGATACAGAACATTTTATTTCCTTCTATTGCTCTTTATATTGGTTTTATTCTTTCTCTCTTATTATCTCTCTTCGTCATAACCTCCCCACTCTGCATCGATACCACGCCACTTTGGTTTTTCTACTCCACCCTTCTATATGTATATCCACACCACAGACGAGATATAGAATAGACCTCTCATACAATGCTCTTTTTTTTATCTCGAAATTCGAGGATTATATGACCCTTTACCATTTTCGTGTCACATGCGACGTTATCAATTTCGTATGGTATAAGATAAAAACATTAGTAAAAGTTGAAATCAAAACTAAATATTTCTATAAAATTACAAATATGTTATTAAATTTTATATTTTTATATATCTGTCTATTTTTATACGTTATATATATTTCAATAAAAATTGGATACTTATTTTAAACAAAATTTATTAATTTTAATTTCTTTTATTTTTTCTGCATTTTACATATATATATATATATACATTTTTATATAATACAAAAAAATTTTTATTTCTAAAATAATTTACTAATTCCCAATATGATTTTTTTTTTATTCATGAGAAAACTTTCAATAATTATTGTTTAAATGAAAAAAAAATATAATTTGAGAATTAAGAATTATTTAGCAATTTTTTGAATAAAACATTAAATTTTGATTATATTAAAATATTATTATTAATAATATATAGATTTAATTATAGCATTATGTGTTTTTAATTTTAAAATAATTTATTTCAAAATTCATGAATTCCAATGAATTATTAAATTTTACTGTATTAATTGATTTTCTACTTTAAATGAAATATAAGTGATAAAACTCATTTATAATATTATAAATATATTTATAATTTATAAATATATTTAAAATATACATTATAAATATACATTATAAAATATAAAATCATAATAAGCCAAAATATAAGCAAACTGCTAGCTATGTAATGCGTTAAATTTTCTTTAAAAATCTTTTTATAGCTACACATATGTACATTATCTATGATTAAATTCAATATAATTCTTATATCAATTAAAAAAAAGTAGATCGTTAAGAAATATTTTGATTTTTTTTTCCATAAAATGAAATATATATATATATATATCCTATCATTGTATGTATATATATATAGACGTTTAAGTTCATTTATTTAATCATTTATTTAATTTATTTTTTCAACTATCATTTCTTTTTCGATAATTCTTATTTCCCATAATGAACCGTATATATGACGTGATTCATGGCTACATAGTGAGAGCAAACATACTTAGCAATTCGTTCTATTAAACGATAGCTTTAGAAAAACTTAACGTTTCAAAAATTTCAAATAAACTTATAATTTGTTTCATAATATAATTGTTTGCGGAAAATTATATATTTTTTATAAAATAAAAAAAAATTTTTATGTATTTTGTACTCTAGTAATTGTTGTATTTCTCTTTTTGTTATGTTCTCAATCATATAATATAAATTCTGAAACATTTATCTGTTAATAATGTACTAGTATTATATAATATGCACTAATAATAATAAATATAAATATAAAATCTAAATATAAAGTTTAATCTATTTTTCAAGAAAAATAACATTTTTAGCTCATATATTTTTATATATGTATAGAACTGCTCTATTAGAAGCATGAATGCAGGAAGATAATATGTTCTAAGTTTTAAAGAACTAAATGAACTGTTGATCATTATCGTAGTAAATAATATCTATGTAATGCGATATTTATAAAATTCTAATAAATTTAATATGTTATGAAATAAATTTCAAAGTTTTCTTTTTACAACTCACTGATCCAATTTACAAATATTAATAATTTATTGATCTTAGAGATATACTTAAAATATTCTTAATTTTAGAACGATAAATTATTTTTTCTAATAAAATGTACAACAATTCTTGTATGGAGTATTTTTTTCAAAAGCAAAAAATTATTATAAAACAATAATGACAAATATCTTCTTAACTAAATGCAAAAAAATTGGAAAAAATTAAAATGTAAAATTGTGTATTTCTTTTTATGTTTCTCTCTTCTGCTCCAATCCCTTTTATCCTCTTTCTCTCTTCTTCTTTTGTTTACAATCTCTCATCAGTTATTCATTGTTGAACGTTAGCAATTGAACGATGCCTCAAAACGAAATAAAATGAATCATCGAACTTTGGATTTCATTTTTGCTTCTTATAAAATAGAATTTATTTCAAAATTATTCATATTGTTCAAGATTAAAAAAAGAATGGAAGGAAGAAATCAATTATTATTATTTTTGATAGATTTGATTGATAAATGTCTTACAGAATGATTTTTATTGATGAACCTCAAAGGAAACAAGATTCAAAAATTATAGATCTTGGTTTGATTCTCTTTCTCTTTCTTTCTCTCTCTCTCACACATACATAACACAACACACACATACTCTCACTCTCCCACTCTTTTATTCACTCATTCACTCATTCACTCTCTCTTCCCTCTCTCTGTCTCCCTGTCTTTCTGTTTCCCTTTCGATTGCTTGCAATCGATTTACCAAAAATCAACACGTAAGTTAGAATGAAAAAGAGAGAAACATATATGAAATATATGAAATAATAAAAAAAAATTAGAAAAGATAACAATGTTCGTTGTTCTAAGTTTAGTAAGTATGTCCGAGCCACGAGCGAAAAGCAACGTTGTCAACGAATCGATATCCGGATGGGCGTGGCCTTGTCGATCCTCGCGGATGCTATAACGTGGAATTTCTCGATGCGATCGCAAAATTATCGTTCGCAAAAATTTAGTTTACTAAAAATTAAATTCGAACGAACATCGCGTTTATTTGACTACTTGACGCGCAGGTTTCTTTTACCAAAACGAAATTTATTTTATTTTCGTTTGCTTTTTTTTGCTTTGTATATTACAATATTAATTTCTAATTCAGAATCGTTTTTTTAATAGAATTTCAACATTTAAATAATGTCGATATCATTAAAAATTGTATAATTTTTTTAATTCATTTTATTTTTGAGTTCTTTTTTAATCAAAAAATTTGTTCAATCGCTATATTAAATATATATATATATATATATTTTTCATATATAATATTTCAAATTTTATTATAACTAATTTCATATAATATATATAATATCAATTAAAAACGAGATTATATCGTTTCTGTATTTTTTCTGAGTTTATAAAACATAATATGAGCTGAAATTACTTATTTAAAAAATATTAAAAGATTCAATTGTAAAAAAAAATTTGATCAAGCTTCAGCGTGAGTAGGACGTTCCAGAAGCCTAGTTGAAGCATCGAAGAACCGATTGGAAAGGACTGACAGTGTTCGGAATAGTGAAAAGAAGAAAGGACGAATGATAGAAGGGAGGGGGTTGAGAAAAGGGAGCTTGGAACATGATGCATAGAGAGAGGAGAACGGAGTAAGGTCAGAGGAAAAGACAGGGGACAGTACGCGAGAAGAGTATTCGCAGCATGTGGTCTCGTCAACCCTCTTGCACGCTTTTCTTTTCACTTATCTCTGTTGCCTCTCTTTCAAGGCTTATGTGTACCTCGTGTTTTCGTCTACCTTCGCACACCGATTTCGTACTTTCATTACCGTTGCTCCATTTGAATTTCCCCTTGGGTTCAAAACTTACTTTCTACCTCACCTCTCTTTGTAAATACTAATTGCTCTATACAAACATCCGAAATGTACTTAACGTTTTCCTTGTCTGTGTAACAAATTTTTTGTCTTTTTTTTTTATACGTCTTTTTGTTTATTTTTATTATTATACATCTATTAATTGTATTTATACATCATTTCTTTTCTTTCTATTTTTAATATATCGCCGCATCTTTTCACTCTTTTTTAATTTTCATTTATTATGTGAAACATCGTAAAAATACGAAGCAATATATCTTCTTTTTCTCGCAAATTTTTTCTCATTTAAATTTTTTCAAATATTTTTGTTTTATCTCTTTCGTCTTTCACCTTATCTTCTCTCTCCTTTTCAAATTATTTCTTCCAATACATAACAAATATATATAAATGTATGTGGATAGTATTCATGCTTATGTTTGAAAATAAATTGAAGACCTTCTCGATTTTGTTCGCTATTTGTTATACAATATATCCACAATTATCGTAAGTAGCATAAATTATTAACAATAAAAAGAAACAACATAAGCGAACACATAGATTAAAATAAATATAAATAAAATAAAATAGATGATGATTAATTCGATTATATTGAAAAAAAATGAAAGAAAAATTAGAGAGTGCTCATGAAATGGTTGGAGACGGCAGGTAGGAAAATCTGTAGTTACGTTACTGAACGACTACCCTCTAGCGATTCGCTAAGTTGCTAGGATACACCCCATGTTCGAACCCTCCCACGATTCGGCTATCGGTGCCCTTCTACCTTTCATCGCGTTGCTTTTACTGTAAGAAAAACATCAACCAGCTAAACTAGACGCAGATTCAAAGCAAAATTCTACCGTTTTAATTTACGTTTTGTCTTCTTTTATTTGTTCCTTTACTATGTAATCCTAAACGATTATCAACATTTATCGTGTTAAAAATATGTTTCAAAGACTAACATAAAATATTAAAATTATGTTTATAAATATGTTTATATATATATATATATTTCTATCAGATTGGTAAGATCATTCAACGAAAACTTATTTAATTTATTTCTTTTTTATTGTAACATTCACATTTTTATATTAATAAAATGTATTCATCATCATTTTAGATATATTATTATAAATTATTCCTAATATTTCTCTCATCTAAACTAAATTCATTATTACTATTTAATTTAAGCATGAAATCAATTGCATTTGTATGCATGTTTTCATTAGATTTTAATGATCAGAACACTTTTCTAATCGATGAAATAACCGACCTGATATTTAAATTTTTGTATTTAGGGTTTCTCTTTCCAATATACATCTTACTCGTTTCGCAAGTATATCACGTATAATATATTATATATACTTGCTACCTGGACAACTGTACTTTATAAAAACATCAATACAGCGCGCAACATCTTTATACAATATATATAATTTTTGAAGAAATCAAAATACATGTATTATTAACATATGAGATGATATATTAATATAAATTAGAAATAAATATAAAAATATAAATAACACTTACCGTTTCCTTCTGAAGACCGGAAGTTGTTCCAGATTTTTTAGTAGTGACATCTTTCGTATTTGACGTGAACTTATCTATTCGACATGTACCGGTTTATTCGGTAACCGGTACTAACCCCAAACATGAAATCAAACACTTTATCATACACTATAACAAATTATTTCACATCTACACTTTTGAAAGATTGTGATAACTCAAAGAAATACCATTAAAATTTAATAATAATATGTAATTTAAGTAGAATTACTCATAAATATACGCTCAAAATGGCAACTCACGAACCAATCGTCTCTGCTTGTGCGTTTACAGTACTAATGTTAAGACTTTGTGGTCAAAATAACAACTGTAAAATCAAAAATTTCTATCGCTTTCTTGATAAAACAAACAATAAATAAATCGAACATATAATGTAAATCAATTATACTTGAAAGTAGTCTTTATTACGTTATCGGTATATATAATATAAAATTTGAAAATTATTATGTCGCATGTTGAAATTGATTAAGGTATGTAAAATCCGGCAGTCACAGGTCGGAGCGCCACTAGTGTCATGGCCTTTTCCTGTTCACGGTTACTCCAAAGAAGACGTGAACGAAAGTTATATGGTAAGGAATTCGAAAGTTCGATGTCTTTACCCGACCGGTTGTGTTGAAAAAGGTGATATTGAAAAATATTGAAAATTTATGAAAAATAATTCGTGACCAAAACATATAATACGCTCTAGAATTTATCAGTTAAAAGTGTTCTCAATCGACCACATGGCCACATGTCTTTATGATACTCATACACGTTTTATATCAACAAAGTTATGGCGTTTCATAAATAACATTTAAAAGAATTATAAATGTCAAATCGAAAAGAAATTGTGTCTAATGTGCATGTTATTTCAAGTTTTCTGTTTTGTTATAATTTGTGTCAAATTTTGTATTTGAACTGAACAATGTTTATGTATTTTTTATTCATTTTATTTCTTTTTCTTCTTAACAATGTATTACGCTAATTATCATACGATATGTACAAAGATTATTTGAATCCGTGAAAGATTATTTTTGAAGTATATTCGATAGTTAATAATATATTTTTTAAGAAACAATTATTATTTGAGCATTCTATAATTATACATATTTTTTTTCACAATATATATTTTTCTTTATCCTTTAATATTAAAGATAATTTAATGAAACAACACATAATAATCTATATTAAATTTTCAATAAGTATATTATATTTCTATTTTATTTATCATACACAAATACATTAATTAATATTGATATCATCAAAATAATCCATCAAAATATATATATATATATATATATATATAACATAAGTTTTTAATAATAATTTATATTTTATAGATAAATCATGGCTGAAATGGAAACATACGATGATATAGTGGTACCTACCACAACGACATTACCAGTGGCCCTTTCTGCAGAACTACCTGAAATTAAATTATTTGGTCGCTGGAATTGTGATGATGTACAAGTAAATGATATGTCTTTACAAGATTATATTGCCGTTAAAGAGAAAAATGCAAAATATTTACCACATTCTGCTGGACGTTATGCTGCAAAACGATTTCGAAAAGCTCAATGTCCTATAGTCGAACGTTTGACAAATTCTTTAATGATGCATGGTAGAAATAATGGAAAAAAATTAATGGCAGTAAGAATTGTAAAACATGCCTTTGAAATAATTCACCTGCTTACAGGTGATAATCCTCTACAGGTAATTAATATTTTAAATCATTATTTTAACATTCTTATATGGAAATTACAATAAAAATGCATTTATATTTGAATAAAGGTTCTTGTGACTGCTATCATCAATTCTGGACCTAGAGAAGATTCTACGCGTATTGGTCGCGCTGGTACAGTTAGGAGACAGGCGGTGGACGTTTCTCCATTACGACGAGTAAATCAGGCTATTTGGTTGTTATGTACAGGTGCTAGGGAAGCCGCGTTTCGTAATATTAAAACCATCGCCGAATGTTTAGCTGATGAACTCATTAATGCTGCCAAAGGTTCGTCTAACTCTTACGCGATTAAAAAGAAAGACGAACTCGAACGTGTTGCTAAATCTAATCGATAAATATGTTCATTCATATAAAAACATAAAAATAAATGATCTATCTTTAAAACGAATTTTGTTATATGTATATATGTTCCCCATTTCTTTCGTTGAAGTTATTCACTAATATTATTAATGAATCACAAGAAAAAATCAAACGCACATTAATTAAAATTTAATTTTATTATATGAAAATGAAAAAATACAATTTAAAGTGATTCGGTTTAAGAAAAAAATATAAACAAGTTTAGAAATTTTGTATATGGTTACATGTATCAAATGTGGTTGGTAGTTTATTCGATAATAGTGGTGCTGTGATGCAGTGTTACCACTACAGAAAATGTATCGTAATAATTCCGACATTGCTCGAATCGGATGGTCGCATAATTGGTTTTTATTTTAAACGGATCGTACATGTACGATCATGTCAGGAGTACTGAAAAAGGTAAGACGTTTATATAATTAAATATAATAGATAACACGTGTTGAATAATAATTTTTTTATTTCCGAAATATGATCTTATCATCTCGTTCAAAACATAACCAAATCATTAATATATAATAGTATGATATAGTAAATATTTATAATATTCACTGTTTGTTTTGCGATTCATTTTATTTGAACATGGTATCTATTTATTCGTAGACAACAGGATTAACGGGACTCGCTGTGTCCTCGAATCCTCGTTTGGAACTTCGTGTATTGTACGATAGAATTCTGCGACTTTCAAGTCATTTGCCGAAGGAATATATTTACAGAAAGTCTGTTGAAAATTTGGCGAAAGAAAGACTCAATATCGTGGAACAGGTAATTTTTACTTAACAATTATTTTGTTGTACTCTACATGAAAGATGTTTGAAATAGATTTTTATATCGAATCGAATTATTGTTCGAACTACTGATATAGCGTATTTAATATTACAGAATGATAATATTGCCGTTATAGAAGAAAAGATAAATCAAGGACAAGTAGAAGAATTAATAAACCATGCGAAAAATGAAATATTCTTGATACAAGACATAATTGAACAGCGACCGTGGGACAATTTGATGCAGAAAGCACCACTACATCAATGGACTTGGCCACCTCATAAATAATTTTAATTATTTTTAATATATTTGTAAATAGTATTGAATAAGCATATGCTTATCAATTTTTGATGTAATCCAATTGTAGATTAAATTACGTATCTATATATCATATAGCCAACAATTGTATTCATTTGTAGAAGCTTTCCTAATATGAGATGAATATAGAGGTTAACTCTATATAATGTTTGTAATTGGTTCACATTATGACTGACAATATTTCCGAGAAGTTAAACGACGAACGGAGAAAGTCAGAAAATTCGTTAATTCGAATGTTTGGTGGAAAAAAGTGGCGAAACGTTGAATGGCAACACCTACTAGATGGAACGGAGAAACAGTCACATGACACACTCGAATAGAAGCTACGTTGAAAGGAATGCAGCAAGGAAAAAGAAGAAAGGTAGGGGAAAGGACAATGTTATACGTTGCACAGTTAGAAGAAAAGGATGCAGATATGGTAGGCAGGTTGGTAGATAGATGAAACACGAGCAATGGTAGGAGAACGGTTTTAACAAACGTTCGCAGGGGTGGGGATTCGAGAGCCGCCGTTGCCGCCGCCACCGTCGCTCAGTTCCGATTTCGCGTCGCGTTCGAGGATAAGGACCGCGCGGATCGCACTCTCTTTCGAGTCGTCTAATCATCTGGACGCGGTGTGCAGTTCTACGGTTTCACACTTTATTTTCTTCTTCCTCTTTTTCCTTCTTTTTCCCTTTCTTTTTTCCCCCTTCTATCGTCACACTTTCCTCTTCCATCTCTCCTATCTTCTCATTCTTATTCCGCTTCTCATTCTTTTTTTCGTCGATACCTACTTTCTCATTCACTTCTCTTCCCGATTTTCGTCCGGAATATAACATAACGTTCGCTATTGTGACACAGGTGCAGATATCAAAAGTACAATTACAGTATCGCGTAGTTAAGATATTTAAAATTAACGTTAAAAAGATGCGCGTGTGTTATAACACGCGTGAAACAAAAAACGAATCTCTAGAATAATAAAAATCGATTAATCAAACATCGCATAATTTGATTTTTATATTGTCTGCTGTCCATAACTCTATATCATCGTGTTAATTAAAACAAGTAAGTACGTACATAGATGTAAGTATAATAAGTAAAAAAATCAATGTATCTAACAACATATACATATTTATTTATTATAATCGATAATTGTAATCGATAAATTTTCAATTTCGATAGTATACATATATATATCAAAAATTATCAATATTTGAAGTTCAAGCAATAACAATAATCATAATATATAATAATCGTAAAAGACAAATCTTTGAAGTGTTGTTTAATTAAAAGAATGAATTTTCTATGAATTTATGTTTAGATAAAAGATAGAAATGCGTTACAAGAGAAAAGATGTTTGTAATTTGTAAAAAGTGTGTAATCGAAATGGACGCTAACGAACGCAATAGAAGTTTCATCTCAACGGTAAATGTGTAGATTCTGAAACAAGAAACAATACTACGTGGAAAAAAGCATGTTCCTGTTCCCGTTCCCGTTCCCGAATACAATGCGCGTAATTTTGTTGATTGCGACGAAATGAAAGCGGTAGAGATATTAGTATCGCTCGAATGAACAGCGAAAACGGCCTCGCGGGAAATTCGCGTTCCTTTCGTTGTTTATTGATTTTCTCGAACGATTCTCGAATCGGTTCTCGTTGCAGAACAAATACAAAAGAAGTATCAAAAGAATTGGCGAAATCGGAAGAAGGTTAACGCGCCGTGACGTTGCCCCGTTAGATGCCTCTCGGTTGATGCGCTCCTACCGCCACTACCAGCTTTGTTTATACAGGTACTCTTGAATCATTCCTGCAACGCCATCTTTTCTCTTTTTGTTCTTATTTTGATGATAGTATCAAGTTTAATATCGTTCAAGATCGCGAACGGCAGGATTCGAAATTCCGCGATGCAAGTAAATTCACCGTAAAGCAAGCGATCGATAAAGATAGATAAAAGTTTAGGTGCGATTCAAGTTTCACGGGAAAATCGATTCACCTCGGTGTAACGTTCCGCTGTTCGGTTTTCTTACCGGTTCACGTTACTGGATTCCATAGAACGAGATATAACTATCCGAGGATGACGACCGATTTTATTCACATGTTTTATGAAGGAAAAACATTTTGAAAGCATATGTGATCAAAGCATAGAAAATTTGTATAAGATTCGATTTGTGTGCACATACTACACGTTCTCGAATTTGTTCGTCCAGTCATAACATCTATTGTAACTATTGTAACTCGAATCTGTGGCAACGCGTACATATTTTTATTAGTCATTTAATAAAATTAAAGAAAAGTTTTTGCTTCATAATTTCCAATTGACGAAAGAGTATCTCATCTGGGAATTGCGGATCGTAAATGAATAGTCGTTTTATCGTTGCCGTTTCCTTTAGAACACGGTTGACTTTTCACAACCAAAAAATTATCGGGTTTTGCGCGCTTTCTTTTCTTAGAAATCGTTCTTCCAACATGGACGGTTACGGATCCTTTTCTGTTTTTATTCGATTCGAGTGGACGCGCTGTTTTCCCACCATTTTTATCCCAATCAATGTCTCGTTCATGGGCGATTTCTTCTTTTTTTTTAAAACATTTCTTATACAAAGAATGATAGATTTAAAAGAATAGCATTCGAACGCGAAGCAAGATCGTTTTGGTGTTGGACGCATCGTTCCTCTTTTGCGCAAATACAGCTTTCACTTCTCGCTGGCTCTTGCCATTTGCCCTTCAGCGTCGAGGACGTCACTGTTTGCGTTGAATTATCGCGCTCCGCATAATATAATTCTTCGTCGAATAGTGGAATAAATAATAATTTTGATTATAAGTTGATAAAAATAGAATAAATTTTATCTATTTTGGTTAAGATCAACAATAATTTTTCTTTCAAGAGAGGAGAAATACGATTACTCAATGTTTTTCGAATCTACGAACTTGCAAAGAATCGGAGGTCCGTGCAATACGCGCAGGAAGTTTCGCAACGAATGTTTCATCTCGCGAAAGAATTGTACGTATGGCTGCGTGATCGACCTGAATTTTCGGTGTCAGTTTCTTGGTAATGGACAGTCCAAGTATCGCAAAAAACGACAACGAAGGTAATCAGACACGGAGAACGACGATAATGAAAGCGTTTGGAAATTTTCGGAAAAATAGTTATCGCAAAAAGTAGCGGTTAATCGAAAAGATTCACGCACGGAACATGGAACAGACGATCGATCGTATATGTACTTACATGGATTACGGATCGACGATTGTATTTACCTCCGTTCTGCGTCCAAAAACTTCCGCGCTATCTTCCATTCTTTCTCTCTTTCTTTGTCCCTCTACCTCCCTTCCTATTCCCTCCTTTCGTACTCTGGCATGCAACTAGCTCTCTCTTTACCGGTATAAGTAAGTATGTACCACATCGCTCGGTTGCCTCTACCATATAGATAAAGTATACGCACACACGCCGTTCCGTCCCTTCTCTTTTCTCCACCTTTCGCTCAATCGGTCTGCGAACCTTGCTACGTAGCTTTCCTTCCGCATACCAAAATTCCTGGGAAACGATGCTGAGAAAATAATTCCGAACGATGTAGTTTTTTTTCTCTTTCGCTAGCGTTCTTTCGCCCGTTCTTTCTTCGGCTGGTTCGTTCGCTCCGTCGAATCCGACGATCGACGAAGTTTTTGCGCTCTTACCAGCCAACACGCATGCGCACAGGTGCGAATGGAATAGGTGCGGCACACTGCACTTGCGCGACTGAGACTGACCTAGATGCCTCACGAATAAAACACATCCGTATTTATTCTCGATATCCTATCGTTCTCACTTAATATTACCCTCTTTTCTTCGATTTTTTCCGTTTCCTCCCTATAAATCATGATCTTTTCAAAATAATGCACGATCGAAATAATCGAGTTTTCATAGAGAAATTTTTTTGAATTTCGATACGAAACGTTTATGCGGAAACGTGAGTTCGAACTAGGAGCGTAAAACGACAAGACTTACCAACGTCCGGCCAACTCAAACGATAACCGGTTATGCGTTTTGTTCGCTCTCTTTCCGTGGAACTCGCCTTCGTTCTTGGATAACGTTTCGGGCATTTGCTCTCGATCTTAAGATCGCGCAACTATCCTTCGTTTCGTGAGCAGAGCTAACGACCCACGATTAATCGGCCTATCAGGAGTCTATCTTTTGAGCAAACGAACGAATTTTACCGTATTCGAGTTTTCTTTCTTTCCTTCATCTTCGTAAGCTTACGTACTAGCTAGAAATATGGGGAAGAGAATGTTATCCGAAAAGATGGGCGAATCGATTCGTTCTTTCTTTCTCTTTGTGAATTCCTCGCGCGTAATGATCGAATTTCGGTCATGAAACACGTTCGCGGCTTCGAAAGCGAAGAGAGAACGCAGACGCGTACGGGCTGACAGTTATCGCGGCTTGTCCGCTCTCACCGGATATACCAGATCGAACTTGTCCGCGTTCTCCTAAGGGAAGACTTTCTTTTTCGCGCGTGGACCGCGACCTCGATCCGATTTCATCTCTCTCTCCTCTCTCTCTCTCTCTCTCTCTCTCTCTCTCTTTTTCTCTCTCTACTTTCCACAAATTAGAGATAGATTAATATTATCATACGATCTCACGATAGTTAAGAAACATTTTTATCATCTCGAATATGGATCGCTGATGACTACCAATGAACGAACGAAGGTCAAAGAAGCGTGACGATCGACGGCGAAGCTTTCTCTTCGATATTGCGCAACGAGTTCGGGACGATTTATCCGCATTTCTCGTTACTGCATAAATTCGACCGCGATATACGAACTTGAATGCACGCGTAATCTATCGTTCGTTGGCCGGTCGATTTATTCGAACTCGAACCGATTCGAACCCGTTAGGCAAAACCGTTATCGTTGGTATCGAGCATGGTTGTTGCTCTTCGCTTTGCTCGATTCGCTTCCGCGGGCAACGAGCGTTTCCTTAGCGCCTTTCGCAACTGATCCCCTCGAATTCCCGTCTCGAAACGAAACTACTTTTATCTACTCGATCGTGAAATGAAAAATCGTGTTTTTTTTCTTTCCTTCTTCTCTTTTTTTTTTTTTTTACAGAAGATGGAGGATCAGTCGAGGTATCAT